TTCCGGTGGTAAAGCTACCCATATGCGCTCTTATGACTATTGGTGGTTTTATCATATCAAGAATAACATTTGTACAGACTTTGCCAAGATCATATTCTTAGACCTTGTTGAGGTTGTCCATAAAGGGGTCAATTACACTAAAACACTTCTATATGCTTGTATTCTTAGCTACATATTTAGGGATAAAATTAAAGTGTCTACCGCCCTTGACTCTCCTATTCCCCTCGTTAGTGTCATCAATCTCAAATCGGCCCACAAGGCCAATTGGGATTTTGATGACAATTCTGGTGAATGGCATTCTTATAGAAGACAAATCTTGGATGACATCGAGGAGGAAGAAAATGAAATGGATGAGCAACCGGTTCCCCCATATCAAGAAGAGATATCAATGAAGACCTTGTATGATTACATGGTTCAAGGCTTTGGAAACATAAATTCTCGCTTAGACGCACTTGAGAGTGGCGTTCACCCGATACATAATAACTTGATGCATTCATCTCATTTGTCACAACATCCAGAAGATTAGACATTATTATGATATTTTAGGACATTTACATTTTGATTTGGTCTTATGTACTTTATGACTTATTTTGGAACTTTATGTTATTTTATGTTTGATATTTTCTTATGTTAATACTTTATGGATTTGAACTATTGATGTTGATCTTGTGCTTATAAACTTAATCTTTACATGTTAAGCATGATTTGATCTTTTATTATATGAGCTTATGTTATGCTTTATGTTGAATTATTTGAGTTCCCTATTACACTAACATATTTTTCCTTTTGAATCTTTATTTGATTTTGTTATAACAAAAAAGGGGAGAAATATTTATAAGTGTAAAATTTGCACTTTTCTAGCCAAAAATTGTTTTTCTAATTGGAGATTTTATTTTTCACAAAATATGACAAATCAATTTTAAAGTAAATTTTCACAAAAGGTTTTGTTATATCAAAAAGGGGAAGATTGTTAAACTAATATTTGATTTTGATATAACATTAGTTTTAAATGCTTTAAAGTTGTTAAAATTTGCATTTCACTAGTTTATAAATAATTTATCGTAAACGATTTTAAAGCATTTTTAAGTGTGAAAATTAATCACAGATGTTATTGAGTAAATTCATATTTTATAAACATTGTTTTATAGCTTAAAACACTTGAATTTTTTTCAAAATCACTGCCAGTCTCGAGACCATCTATTCAGTCTTGATACCAAAATTCGGGAGGACTTTTTTTGTATCGTTACCATAGTCTCAGTCTTGAGATTGGTGGGTGAGTATCGATACTGATTTAAATAATATTGATACTGATGGTTCAACGACAATAAATTTGATTGTTGTGAGGCTCAATCTCGAGACCAACATGTTGGTATCAATACCAAATGTATATGTGAGCATTAAATGCTCAAAATTAATGAATCCAATTACTATATTAAATCCCGAACAGCTCTAAATGGCTAGATTGGTGTTAAAGGACATAAAATGGATCAAGATTCAAATGGAGAACAACAAGAAAGTCAATTCTAAGATCAAACCAACTTTAATAGTGTTTTAGAACAAAAATTGTCAAATTCTTTGTAACACACTTGTGAGATACATTGTTAAATTTGTTCAAGTATGATTTTTGGTGAGTCTTAATTATTGCAAACACATTTTCCTTTGTGAGGTTTTTCTTTAGTTTGGTAAATTTGTAATTACTCTTTGGGAGAGTGTGTGTTCAAGGTTTTGGGGTATAAACCATGAAATGTTTGTAAGGTTACATCTTATCCTAAAAAATTTACAAATCTAGTGGATTTGAGAAATCCTTAATGTGGATAGCTAAGGCAGTGGATGAAAATTTGATTTTAAAGTCGAACCACTCTAAATTGTTGTGTAAAGTTTTTATTTTCGATTGCTTCTATCACAAAATTTTTAAAGGCCAATTCACCATCTCTTGATGGTTTTCAATTGATTGATAAAGCTAACACTAAATAACTCTCTAAAGCTTTAGCATATGATTAGGAACCAAACCAAGACATTTAGGATGATTTTTAGGTGTTTCTCGAGCCTAAATAAGACATTTTTAGGTTCGAGTATCGATATTGGATGAACAATATTGATATTGGATGATTTAGGGCCAAAATTAGGAATTTTCAACTAGGAGTATCGATATTTTTGGGAAAATTATTGATACTACCTCTATAAAAAATATTTAGGGTAACAGTATCGATACCATGCCTAAATTTCAGTAGTAGAATACATAGGGGTATCGATACTTGACCTTAGGGTATCAATATTGCAAGTAGAGTATCGATATTGCTCACTTTGGATGGTTATATTTGACATCTTTAAAGCTCGTAAGAGCGAAGGGTGATACGTAATGATAGACTTTAGTCCATGAGGGACATAAATAGCCAAAGGGCCCCAAATTCACTCATAGGAGTGGGTTACAATAGAAGTAACCATAGTAGGCGTCACACGTTCAAGTTTCTTTAGTCGAGTACGTAACGAATATATAAGAATGAAGGATCATTGCTGAGGATGTACCGACAAAAGGTATGATGACTTTATCAGATTATGAGATAGCTAAGTCGTAAATTGTAGGAATGTCAGCGAATGACAGATGTACAATTGTCCCTCTAATTCGAGGGTGAATTATAGGAAAGCGTAGTAAGAGAGACTAGAGTGTTGCTACGTGGAGTTAAACTTGAGTCAGGTATCAGATTAACAGATATTAAAACCAGATAATAGAAACCATAAAGATCGTCTAGAATCACGAAAAACGTAGATATTTTTTAGAGATAAAGAATGACTAAAATACCCTTAAATAACATACGACCAGAATATACCAGCGTAAAATCTAACATCAGTAACAGATTAATAAATCCTTACGTAATGTTCTAGATAAGGAACGAGTGAGATAATAGCTAGTGAGAGGATGACCTCACTTTAGTATTACCAGCTATGCTAGGGTGTGAGACCCGAACACTCACGAGGAGTGAGTTAGCAATGTCAGTGTTGCATGGCCTTAGGACCCTTAGATATGTATGTATCATTGTATCTATCTAGCACGAAAGATGTTGATAATGTTGTGTGTGTATCTTGTTTGCTATAATATTCAGATATATCTAAGAAAGTGTGTGAGGCACTTCTATGGCTAATTTGGGCACGATGCCTAACACTCGTGAGTGGTGGGTTACTCAAATTGTTAGAATATATGAATATGTCAAATCAAGTGCGCAAGGCACTTCAGTGGATAACTTGGGCACGATACCTTACCCTCGTGAGGGGTGGGTTAGTTGGGTTTTGTTTCCAATGTAGAATTATGGATCGCACCCTAGGTAGGCTAGAGGTGTGTGAGTTCCGAGATGCTATGTGACCCTCTAACTACACCATGGTGCCTACCCTTGTTTATGTGTTTGATGTCTGTTAAGTCGCATTTAGATAATGCCTAGTCGAGTCAGAGTCGCATTTAGATAATACAAAGCAGTTGCAGTCAGTATGGGTAGATAGAAGTGTACTCATGTCGAGGCCCTTAGTAGAGGATTAAGGGAAACATGAAATTTCGACTTTAGCGATATAATAGTAAGGCCTTAAGTAGGTAGCACTTGATCTAGATCATGCATGTACCTGATGCTTAGAACCGTATCTTTAGTATCTTATGTTTGAGAGACTCATAATGCTGCTCTAGATTAGCGATTATGCTACTAGACTTTGTAAGCTCAACTTTTATATGTTTCCATTCACAAGTTTCTAGCTTGGACTGTTCATGGAGCATTGTCGTAGCAAAACTTCCAGCATCTCCTTGAGAGTAATGTACTGTAGCTTTAGTGGCCATATATATTCATAGAACCTTACTCATGTATTCAAATTTACAAGAAAAAGTTTGTAATATTTTTATTTAAACTATGTATCATGGAACTCTGGTTTATAAAATGTTTTTATAATTGTTATTTACATTGGAATGAAACCATTGGGCATGTTTTTGAAATATTGAATGAACAGTTTTAAAAAGCATGGTTGTCTTGGCAGCAATGTGACACTTTATGTCCAATCGACTTTAGAGTGTTACAAACCCAATATATTTCAAAAGACTCTTCCAATGTCCGTACAAAAATATATATACAGTTGAAACCTCAAAAGTTACAAATATCCAAAAAGGACACGGATGAAGCTATTAAAGAGGTGGAAGGGGCATATATACCTCTCAAAACCCAATATATTTCAAAAGACAATTCGAATGCCCTTATAAAAATATATCTATAGCTGAAACCTCAAAAGTTACAAAGATTCAAAAAGGACATGGATGAAGTTATTAAGGAGGTGGGAGGGGTCGTTGCTCCTTTCAAATTTTTTGGTATAATAACATTTTGGGACCTTTTTAATTTAAATATTAGTTAAATAAGACCTTTTCCCTTCCTAGTTTTTATATTTAAATACTTCACTAAACTTTTGTTCTTTCATTATAAAGAAAATTAGTCCCTCCCAATGTTTATTCCTATCTCTGTCCATGAAAAAGGATCACCTCTCTAAAAATAACTTTATCATTAATTGAGTTAATTATAAAGGTTAAGACCTATTTCATCAACAAAGAAATTTAATTTCATAAGATTTATTATATAAAATAAATATTTATTTATTAAATAAAAAACTCAACTATTAAGTAATCTTCAACCACTAAAATTATAATAAAATATAATTTAATTACCAATTAAAATTTAAGTCAATAACTAACATAATTCTTACTTATTTCTCTTTCATATATATAAAAAAGAACTTTACAAAAATTAAAGGGCGGAAACAGATCAAACGAAAGAATAGAGACTAATTTCCGAATCTATGCGTAATAGATGGACCGAAACCAACAGTTGCCCTCAAAGTTTCAGTAATTATAAATTGCTTAATTAAATTTAAAACGAAAAGGCAAAGGGGAACTCGACTTGTCTGACTAATCGTTCCATCCGTTTTGATCCCTCTTATTCTTTATATTATTACCTCATAAGAGAAAATAAAGACCCCAAAGATTCAAGAATCAAAGCTCTTTCCTGTAGATTCGCTCTTGAAAAATTCTTCCATCCTCTCTCCCCAAAAGATCCATCGAGATTTCATTCCCCCCCTTCAACCCCCGGTTTTCCCTTGATTTTTTTAAAAATTGGCGCGAAAAAGTGGACATGAGAGTCGAAGGATTCGAGGAAAAGGCTTACGAGGAGACTGACGGTCACTCGCTGCCGCCTAATCCTCCTGTCACCGGTGAAGATAGCGAGATCGACGGAGAAGAGCTGTTCGTACCTCCTTTGAATTTCGCCATGGTCGATAATGGAGTTTTCAGGTCTGGTTTCCCTGATTCCACCAATTTCAGCTTCTTGCAATCTCTAGGGCTCCGTTCTGTTATGTGAGTTACTCAACCCTGCCGATTTGCGTGGCTACTGGCTATCGAAAACGTAAATTTCATTGATTCTAAAATATAAATTGCTTACTTATGTTCGCTTTTCTGTGTAGAAATCTTTGCCCTGAGACCTATCCGGAAGCCATCAAAGAGTTTTTAAAGGCTAATGGAATCAGGCTTTTCCAATTCGGTATCGATGGATACAAGGTATTGATTGCCATGATTATATCTCAATGATCAATATTTTTAGTTCGTGGCTGTTACCAAAGCCATTTCCTGAAATTGACATCGAAAATGGTTCTTCCTAAGCTAAATTCAAAATGTTAATTTTGATAATTCTGTCCTATTTTCTCTTATCCATGGAATTTGTGATCCCTGAACTGTGTTCTTTACCGTAATATAAGATTATAGAATCCTTTGGGTAGTTAAAATTGATAGCTAAGCAGCATCCTTCATTGCATCATCATCCTAGCTCGAGCTGTTTCCCATGCCTTGTTTCTTCTTATAGGTGAAATTTAAGGTTTGAGGTGTATGATATGATCGAGGTTATGTGCGCTGCACGAGGCGAGAACCCCCCTCGTATCTACTCTCAAATGGGTAGCTGTATTTTGAACTAAGAAGTCTAGTTTGAATTTGCGATGGTCGAATAATTGAAAAAAATGAAAATTAGTACGATTTGTTTTAGTTTTTAGTTAAATAATTTGATTAATTTGTGATTTGATTTATAAATTTCTTGTTTATTCGATTCCTACTTGGTTTTAGATCTATTTTTTCTACCAAAATTGAACCACATGTTCCTCAACACTCTTAGATACCCATGTAACTGCCAATTTACTTTTTGACAACATAATTCTTTTTTGCAATTTGGTTCAACTTTATATTTTATTCAATGTAGTCCTCTTACTACAACTCTTTGTCAATTCCTACTTCTCATCAATTCCTTAACTCATTTATATTCCTGTTAATATTGTCTTAGTTTAAATTAAAGCCAATCAATACCATAATATTATAAATAATCACATTTGAATTTTAATAAAAATTCGCATAAATATATTCGATTCAACCCGACTCGAAAAAAATCAAATATAACTTGAATGATAAAGGTGGTGCTTGTAAACTCAACTTGATTTTTTTCCACTCGACTCGACTGAATATTCACCAATAGTTCTGATGTGATTTAGGCCATGTCTTGAAATTGATAATGGATACTCTGTACAGGAACCTTTTGTAAACATTCCGGAGGAAACAATCCGGGAAGCATTGAATGTCGTCCTTGGTATTTAATTGTACTTTTTACTTGTGGCCTATACTTTTCTTCTTTATCATCTTCTTATACTTGGTATTGTATGTTTCCATTCCAGATGTAAAGAACCATCCGGTGCTAATCCATTGTAAACGAGGAAAGGTAATATTTTCATTCTATGCTTTTCCGCCTTTGTCATATGTTATTGAACCCAAATTATTGGTTTACCCATATAATATACCGTGTAGCACCGTACTGGTTGTGTCGTGGGATGCTTAAGAAAATTGCAGAGATGGTGCCTGTCTTCAATTTTTGACGAGTACCAGCGTTTTGCCGCTGCGAAAGCAAGGGTGTGTGACCAGAGGTTCATAGAGAGGTTCGACGTTTCCAGCATGAAGAACATACCGATAACGTTTTCATGTTCGAAAAGGTAGCGTGCAACGCATCGGATATTGCTTGAAGTTTTACTGCCAATTCATAATCGAAACAACTTAGTTAATAATATATACATGCGTTTCGAAGCATGGCATGGATGGTTACCTTTTTGCTATCGAATATTTCTCTCGTTCTAATGGAAAATCACATATATACAGTTCTGGCTGCAAGGGCACGTAGGGTGAGTCAGTTTCTTGACTTTGATATGTCTTGAATTTTGAGTAATAATTCGTTTATGATACAACTCAAATATTTCTTTTATTTATATTAGACAAGATATAGGTACCTAAAAAATGAATATATAAGGATACTACAATAAATATTCTTTCCTTTCTTTCAAACTCTCTCTCAGCTTTCCTCTCATGGCTCTCAACCTCGGGCATGTGGATCTTGGGCACTCTGACCCAAGCACTCCTAAGTCCTAACCATCAAGCCACTATAATAAATATATAAATATAAAGGAACATTATATTAATTTTTTCTAGTTGGATTAAAGATTTTATCTTAAATCTGATTTCGTCTTTTGACTTTTTTAGCAAAGTTTATTTTTATAAAATCAATTGATTCTATAAAATCAAGTCGTATTAAAATTCATCGAGTTCGAATATTTTAAGTATATCTAGGTCTATGTTCTAGTTTGAAACTTTGAATTGGGCTATTAGAGGTTTTGGTAGGGATTGTCAAAATACCAGAATCCGACATGACTCGACCCGACTTTATATGGACATGTATATATATATATATATATGGAAAATTTGGTGCTTGGGACCGGACATGACAAGTTATATAGTTAAAAATTTCGGAGCGGGATGGTGTCGGGTTTAAGGTGAAAAATCATCGATCCGACCCGATTATATATATATATTGTTATTTAAAAAAATTATTTTTATATTATTAAAATATATTATTTAATTATTAAAAATATAAAAATGTTATAAAATATATTAATTTAACCGTTTAAAAATAATAAATAATTATAAGTATATTATTATATAATATATTATTTTAATTATTTTTAAATATATTCAGATCAGATCGGTATGGAGTTTTAGTCTAAAAATGGGGCGGGTTTAAAGCGGAAAAAACATAAATTTATCGGGACAAGACGAGATTGGGTTTTAGATATAGGTTTTCGGGTCGCCCAGGTTTTGGGCATGGGTTTACGCATTCGTTCGGTTTGAGCACAAAATTAACCTATGGAAAACAACACATGAGTCAGGTATCTTTGGGCGGGTGTTGATGTAGATAATCGAATTTCTTAACCATTGCTGGAAATCCCAATGGAAAACAGTGTAAAATTTCCTTCATCATCTAGCGTGAATCACCCCTGCCAAGATTAGCTTACGTTGTATAATGTCATCAGCAAGCTCCATCCTGCATTTTAATTTAATCAACTTTATAATATGCTCACTATTAGTTTCAACATCTTTTCTTCTTTAGTTTATGCTTTATCAATTAGTGAAGCAAAGTGCTGATTCCAAAGTACGCTTCACTGCAACTCTTAATCACAGTATCTATAAAATTCCGCAGGCATTGCCTTTATCATCTGCGCACACTTAAAGAGAAAGAGAGAGCCAAGCATGGCTAAAGAAATAACAATCTCAACATCAGAGATGGCTTTTTTCGCCGAGATGAGCGATCCATACGCAAAAGTGATGGAAAACGACGCTCAGGGCCTGAAGATAATATACGAGAATAACCGCAACGCATTGTTCAATCGAATCAACGCTTGCGGAGACACCATTTTCCACATAGCGGCTTACAACGGACGCAACGAACCGCTCCAAGTGATGCTCAAACTGGTGCCGCAATCGAGGAAGCGTGAGCTGATGATGATGAAGAACGGTTTCGGGAACACGATTCTCCACGAGGCGGCCACCACTACCAATGTAAGAGCAGCTGATTTGTTGATCCGAGAGCTGCTGTTGTTCCACGAGAACGATATTCGTCAAAGGGAAGAGATATTGGCGGCTCGAAATAAATTGGGCGAAACCCCGTTGTTCAGGGCCGCTGAATATAGCAACAAGACGATGGTGGTGTATTTGGCGAGGGAGATCGAACGAGGTGGGAATCTTATGAGTCATTATAAAAGGAACGATGGGACCTCCATTCTTCATATTGCTGTCATCGGCCAACATTTTGGTAACTGGCCCACTTCACCATTCTATTTATTCTTTCGATTTCCATCACTTCAGATTTAGATTATTTACAATTTAAGTATATGTTTTTAGATCGAATTACTACAAACTCGACCCAATTACATTTGAATTATTTCAGTTTCATTTCAAATTTAATGATTTGAGTGGGATTTTTATAGTTAAAATGAGTTGAATTTGAATTTGAATTGAATTTTTTGAGTTCTGGTTAATTGTAAAATATACTAATTAAATTCCGATAAATCAGAGAGATTAACTTCTTGAATTTTGTAAGATAAAGGGATGAAATTAACAATTAAACCTTGACTAACTCAATATTATGTTACTGATTTTTGCAACTTTAATCTCAGATACTGCTATTTGGTTTCTAAAGAAGGATCCACAGCTTGCAACTTACAGAGACAAGCATGGAAAAACAAGCCTTCATGTCCTAGCTGGCATATCCTCTGCTTTTAAGAGCAGCTCCCCTATTCGAGGAATATTCAAAGGGTCTTTCTACAATTGTATGTCTTCTATCTTAGTATATAAATTCGATAAATTTTAATTCGATTCAATTTGAAAAAAAAAGAATTGATTTTAGGGTGGGAGAGGTTTTATAATATTTTGTGTTGAGTTAGGTAAGAGTTAATATTTTTTTTCCGAGATCAAATTATTAAAACTTCAAATAAAATCAAATTAAAAGGTGAAATATAAAACCACGACAATGTCACCCTATTTTAATGGCATTGTTGTTTGAAAGGCCTTCACAGCGGTGCAAGTCATGAGGATGAGATTGATGAGCTTCCATTGAATCTGCAAAGCAAAGATTTAGAGCAGGGTAGGCCAAGCAAAGCTCTCAATCAATCAGAGCTCTTCAAAGGTGATTTCCGTTTTACGCTTCATATTCGAGACTCGTAACTATCTCTTCCAACATTATTTTATTATCGTTTTATGAATGTTTAGTAAGACACGATGAATATATATGTTTGAGCCTCTCCGTGTGTAGGATGGAAAATGATCGATGGGATTCGTGCAGAAAAGAGAATGCATGAATCGGCCGTTAAATTGGCGAAGATCTTAGTGAGAACCGACTCGTCTTGGTTTGATACTCATGAACCGGTGGAGGAGGACACAGTTTGCTTGGAAAGAATGGAAGAAGAAAAGGTAAAGAGTAGTGCAGCGCCCGACGTCGAGAGCCCACCCGAACCGGATACGCCTTTGTTCACTGCGGCCAGAGCAGGCATTGTGGAGGTAGTGACCGAGATACTCACGGTGTACCCTCAAGCCATTGATCACATTAACCGAAAAGGACAGAACGTACTTCATGTCGCCATCATGCATCGGCAATACAAAGTGTACGACGTCCTTAGGGATAAGGAGGAGGCGAAGAGGTTGGTTCGGGGCATTGATAATCACGGCTGCACTATATTGCACCGTGCCGCAGACACAAAATTTTACCACGGAGGAACCAAACCTACTCCTCCCCTCAAATTACAACAGGAGCTGATATGGTTTGAGGTGAACAATCAAATAAGTATACTTTTTTATTTATTTATTATGGATTTGTCATTCCAGTTCGGGTTATTTCGAGTCACTTGTTTGAATAATTCCGGATTTGAATTGTTTCGGATTCAAGTTTAATGGTTGACATTTATACTTGAATAAAATTGATGCAGCAAGTGAAAGCTCAAATGCCCCCTCATTTTATCATGCACATCAACCAAAAGGGCAAAACAGCAGATGAACTTTTCAAGGATATGCACCGAGGGCAACTCAAAGTCGCCCAAAATTGGGTGAAGAACACCTCTCAGTCGTGCTCGACAGTTGCCATTCTCGTGGCTACCGTCGTCTTTACTGCTGCATACACTGTACCGGGAGGTTTCTTGCAGAGTAAGTAACTAATCTACTACCAGATAATCAACTACATCTATATATATTAAGGAGTTACGATATTGAGTCTTGGTTATTAACAGCAGACGGCAGACCGATCCTCCTCGAGAAGCCTCTCTACTCGTTTTTCACCGTGATGGACGTCGCCGGCCTGGCGAGCTCGTTGACCTCGGTGGTGGTCTTCCTCTCGATCCTCACTTCTTCGCTCGAGTTTGGAGATTTTCATCACCGGCTCCCGCGGAACCTCTCACTCGGTTTCACCTTTCTGTTCTTCTCGGTCACCTCGACAATGCTAACTTTCATGGCCACCATCTTGCTGCTCGTTCATTTGCAGAAAAAGTGGACTGCAACGCTAACGTATGCCGCCGCGTTCCTTCCCATAGGCGTATTCGCGCTGTTTCAGTTCCCTTTGTACTACCAGTACTTCATGGCTGCAGTCAAAAGCATTCTTGATTTCCTTAGGAAGAATTTGCCTGGAGACTGGGATTTTCTTGAAATTAAAGATGATTGAAGGAACCATGAAGGGGAAACCATTCTCTCTATATATCGTTGCTTAAACCCCTTTTGTTTATGGATTCTATATGGACTATAATTTTCTCTTACTCCTATGTTCTACTTTTTTATTAATAAGAGGAAGAGACATAAATTGTTAGGCGACTGAGTGTAAATTAGAGATTTGATACCAATTTCTTAAGCACTTCACTGGTTCTTTAGCAGACAAATATTTTTTTAATTTTGATTTACTTTAATTATTATTAAATTTAACTCAACCAATAACTCCAAATATTTAAACTCAATTTGAACTTAATAATTATTGAATCAAATGTATTTATTTATTTATAGATCAAACTTAAATAATCTACAAATACGAGTGTTTTGTTTACACTACTTAAGAGTATCTCTTCCGAGAATGTTTCTTCGAAGAAAAAACAAAAACAAATACCATATTCATTTGAGATTTGGACTTTGTTTTTATGGCATAAGCGAGTAGTTTCTGGATTGATTCTCTGTAGCCAAAGTCGCATCCGATATATTGACAAATTTAGCCCAATATCTATATTTTCTTATTAAATAATTATTTTTAATTTGATAACGTTTTTTTAAGATTCCAATCTTACCACCAACCCCCAACTCCAACCAATCTCAAGGTTAGGTAAAGGACACACACGGCGCACCCATCCATCCACCTGTATGATTTTTTTTATCCAAAAAAAATATATATATATTATCCTTAAGTTCGGTTATAAAATAAATTATAGTTGATTGAAAGATTATGTCCTACTTTAAATTAAAAAAGGAACATTTTAAAGTATTAATAGTTTTAGGGATGTAAAATCTAGTAATCGTTCAGGTTTCAATCGGATCCTGTCATGTCAGATAAAATCATGTCAAGTTAGGTAAATTTGATGCTTTGACTCGAATTAGGTCGGGTCCAAGTCAAATCAGGCCAAGTCATTTTTAGGTTGATTTGACACCAGACACAGTTCGAGTTCAGGTCGTGTTACTTTCATTTCGGATCGATATCAGTTCTGGTCAAAATAGTTGAGATCTAGAGCAGTTAAAGACTAGGTTAATTCAGGTTCGATGGACTTCAGACAAATCTCGTTCAGATCGGGTCACATCATTGGCAGATAAAATTCAGGTCGGATCTTTATCAGATACAGATTGAGTTCAAATCAGGTCAATTTTTATTTTGGATTAATTATTTTCGTCTTTCGCGAACGTTGAATTACAATTTATAATTGTATATAATTTAGAGTAAATTACTAAAAATATAAATAATCATGGATAAATTTTATGAAAATATAAAATTAAGGACTAAATTGAATAAATATAAAATTACAAGTAAAAATTTAAATAAATTAAACAACATACATTCATGAGGGATCAAAACTAAATAATTTTAAAATGTGAGATTGAAATTAATATAAAAAATAACTAAATTATATCCATTTAAAAAGTTATGAGTCAATTAAAAATATAAATAAGTAATAAATATGGGCCAATTTTATAAAAAAAATATAAAATTAAGGACTAAATTGAACAAATATGAAGTTACAAATAAAAATTTAAATAAATTAAACAACACAAAGGGGTCAAATCAGAATAATTGTAAAATGTGAAAAAACTGTAAAATAAACTAAATTGCATTCATTTAAAAAAATTGAGATAAAAATTGAAACAATTAGAATATATATATATATATATTATTTATAAACTATATAGTTTATTAATATAAACTATATATAAACTATATAGTTTATATATAAAGTATATATATTATATATATAGACTATATATATAAACTGTATAGTTTAAATTTATATTATTATATATTATATATAAACTATATATATTATGTATAAACTATATATTTTATTAATATAAATTATATATGAACTATACAGTGTATATATAATACTTTATATGTACACTATATAGTTTATATTTATATTATTATATATTATATATAAACTCTATATATATTATGTATAAACTATGTATACCATGTATAAACTATATAGTTTGTATATGAATAATTATATATAAACTATACAACTTATATTTATATATTATGTATAATTATAAATTATATATAATATGTATAAAATATATAGTTTATTAATATAAACTATATAGTTTATTTATATATATATGGTTTAGGGTTAATTTATGTAATTATATATAGTTTATAGATAGTAGTATATAAACTATATATAAACCATATATGCCATATGTAAACTATATATACTATATAATTTACATATGAATTATATGTATAAACTATATAAACTATATACATAAACTATGTAAACTATATAATATATATGATTTAATAGTTTAGATATGAACTATATATAGTTTATTAATGAATTATATAAATTATTTATATTGTATATACTACATATATAAATTATATATACTATATAGTTTATTTATGAACTATATATAAAATTATATATATATAAATTATAATTTATATATACGAAACTTTTCCACCTTATAGTCCAAGGAAGAGTCACTGCTCCACACTGAACCAAGAAAATCTTGAAAATTGGGGTGAGTTTGCCCGGCATTAATAAAACGAAACGTACGATTATCTTGGTCACAAAGTGGCAGGTGATCTGATCTAAGTTTATCTAGATGAGTGACATACGCTTCATGAAAAACTGATATCGACCTCGAATTAACCAAACATCTATCTAAACGCTGAAAAAATTACCACATGAATAAACACAGTCTGTAAAAAGGTGACTACCACGCACATGTTGGGAACAACCACCCTTGCGTTCATCGGGCGAAAGAATAACGTTGAAGTCACCCCCAATATCCACGGAATATCAGTACCCGGGTTAAGATTCTCCAAGTGGTGCCAAATATATTTATGTCTCGAGCGAATAGGGCTAGTATAGACTGCAGTGAATTGAATCTCGGTACCCCTGTCACATTCTGAACTATATCGTTAATAAATTGATTCGATATATTAAGAATATCTACATTAACCGACTCATTCCAAAAAAGCCAAACACCACCACTAAACCCATGAGACTCTACACGGAATGAGTTAGAAAAGCCTAACCTCGCAACAACTTTATCAGCAATCATGCCATTAACACGAGTTTCAAATAAAGCTACCATACAAGGACGAAATTCGTACACGAACGATTTGAACTAGCGACGGAAGGTCACACTAGCAGCTCCTTGACAATTCCAAAACATAAATTTATCCATAGAAAATAAATGAGAGAAAACCAGGCCTTATTGCCCTTTATCAACCCTACAAGCGTCATCATCACCACCCACATCCGTACTGTCAGGGTGAAGGCCAGCAAAAGTAACATCTTCCTCATATAAGGAATGAATCATCGATGGGGAATGCTCAAACTCCATGTACTGGAGCTGTTTATGTATGGATTCCTCTAACCCAGGTTGAGCTAACTATTCCAAAATACGCTGAACCAGCTTCGCATGAGACAACTTAGAAGAATTATGGGAATCCATTTTTTGCAAATCCATCACCCTCTCCGTATATGCTCCACCATTCCTTTTCCCACCATATTACGACTACGAGACTTTTGAACTCGAACCCACTTCATTATGCTCACCACCTTCAACGATTGTAACAGCTTCGTGTTGGCCGGCTTTAATATTCGGTTTTTGAGTTTTCTCCTGCGCATCCTGCCCATTGACCAAACACTGTAGCAGTCAGTCCTACCGTTTTAACTGCCTACTTTTTCTGTCTGGGTTAGAGGCCATGTAAGTCGCATGTCAAAGGACCTCTTTAGCCTTTCCTTTCTCAGTCACACCTGTCTGTTTTGTTACAGCTTCATTTTTACTTGGTTCAACCTGAGCTAGATCAGTTTCATTATCTTACATTTGTTCATTGACAGTAACTTCAACATATTTAAGGGACTCATGCCTAGACCCAGAACTTACAGCGTAACGACTATTACCAGATTTTTGAAATTTTTGACCATGGCATCCCCTATTTTCAACCATCATCCAGGGTCAAAAAGGTCACTCACAGAAATTTTCTCAATTGGTTCATTACGAAAGTCGGCAATAGTTTTTTCCATATCATCGTTAGGAACAACTGGTTCTTGTTCATCATACAAGAGTCTTTTGAATGCCCATATATCCCACAGGAGAAGCAAATTTGGTTCAGATCATCATACTCCAGTTTTTGTATGAAGCCATCAATGCCAAGACAAGAACGGTTTATTAAGATCAACAATAACTGCAATGCGGGTAAATTTTCCCCTTCCCCCAACATCCGTATTGTAATCAATTATAACCACTCTTCCAATAAAGGAAGCTGTGTCGGGAAAGACCCTTCGTGTAATAGCGTAATGGTAAACCTGGTAAGCGGATCCAAACTATTACTGGAGAGGGATGTTTTTCTGAGGTGGAAAAAGATCTGCTCCAAGATTGAACCGTCAAGTAACTTCCAAAAATTGTCAATTGCCCTTCTATTAAAACTTTGATAGTCTTTCTCATTAGCATAACGAACAACAAAATTATTATTGTCAAGGTCAATAAGTTGAATTTCACCCACCAGTTTCTATAGAGCCTGAATGCTAGTGTGCAACGTCTTGTATCCAACTGAGAGTCGTAGTATTCTCACAGTGATTGTGTTACGTATTTTTTTTGTCAATTTGATCGTGAAACCGATCATAGAATTGTATTAACAGTATAACCCCATCAAGATTCATAATCACATCTTCTTGCAAGATAACCACTTCCTCTTCTCTAAAACAGTCTGCCCTACTCGCTTCTTCAATAGTCCCTTACGAACCGGAGACTATATTGGCATAAGATGCCTTATCAGATTGGATATGTGCTTCTGTTTGCTCTTCAATTGGGTTATTCACGTGCTAATGAGCATCAGATTCAACAAGTACCATATAATGCCCCAAAATTTTGTCGAGGACTAAAATGGTAAATAAAATTATTTTGAGAACTAGTTAGATATTTTCTACGTGTTGTCGGATTAAATTTAGATTATGGGATGAAGAATTAATTCTTAGAATTTAGTTTGTGGAAAATGAGTGTCTAAA